GAGGCTTTGCTTGTTCCCGTCAAAACGTTCTCTGATCCTCCAGAGGACAAAGGCTGTTCTCTCTCTCTCTCTCTCTCTCTCTCTGATGTATGATTCCTGTGGGTTGCACTCAATGTACTGTTTGCACACTCATATTAATACTCTGTTGTCACCCCTGAACATGCATATAAAATGTTATATAGTTCTGTATGTACACACAGATGTACTCGCACTGCCAAGAGCAGTAGGAGGGAGGAGCAGCCACATCATTTCCATTAATCCACAGATAACTGGGGCAAAGAAAGTTTTGGCAGTAGTGTGAGAATCATGAAAAACAAGGTGGAGGAAGTGGAATGGACTTTTGCTGTTACCAAACACCCAAATTAAGTCATCATTAAATGCTGGTCTCAGATTTCTGGATTATTTGTTCTAGAACTAGCAGCTCCTTCACCACTCCTCTTCTCTGTATTGAGCACTTCCCAGTGTGACTGCATCCACAGCTCTGTGCAAAAACACATTACACCGGTCATCCGAAGCCACTGTGAGGCTCCAGCCGTGTCAAAGTGGGTGCATGTACAGGCACCCCTGAAGACACAGCCATGAAGATAGAAGTATGCTCATGCATGTCCTAAGCAGTTTAGCTTCCAGTCTGAGCAGTTTGGTGCTCGACCTGATTAATTTAATGTCTGTGCTGAAGCTGAATTAGTGAGTTAAATGAAGCAGTAACACTTAGTATTCACAGTTGAGCCATCGACATCGTTCGCTCTGTGTAGCGTTTTAAACATCAGTTATCCAAATAGTTCTTATACAGTTACAAATGAGCTGCGGTGGTGAGTGGCATGTTGTTCTGCTGGTGGGGCTCTGAGAGCTGTGTTAAACAAGGTGAGGTGTAAAGATCCAGGGTACAATTCATACACACGTTGTAAATTTTGTGTTTGTCCCAATTTGGATTATGCTGCAGGGATGTGGGGTCATTCTAAACAAAGAAAAGTGGGTAAAGCAAAGAACAGTGTTGTGCGTTGTTAATGTGTGGAATGGCTTCAGAACTGCCTGCATGTGGTAAAATGGGATGGACAACTGTGAGGTTTGGCGAAACGGCGATGTGCTGTGATTGTGACAGTAAAACAAACAGCTTTCCATGTGCACAAGAACTTAGTTACTCTCTGAACTGGATTTATGGGGACTTTTTAGGAATAAGTTGCCCTGTCATGTTGGTCAGTGTAAATCTTTATTTAAAAATGATCAGAAGAAATACTGAGCAGACCATCTGGTGTGGTTTGTCGCTCTTCATCTGAGCAGAGCCCACAGCTCCGTCTGTGCTCAGTTAAGTTTTGGTGTTTTGCCTTTGGCTCTGGAACCTGTGTGAGCTGAGACGACCTTCGAGTTGGACCTTTCCAAAAATAGGGCTGAAGGCCATCATAGTATTTGACCTGACAGATGACTGTTGATTACAGTATATGTTTACATATAAAATGTCTGGCAGCTTGTCAACGTGGTGTAGAGAGCTCTGTATGTGTAAATCGTTTACTTGATATTAGTTCTATATACAGTAAGATTTTGGTTTCCTACTGTTATCCCTTGCCTCTGGTGGTGTGGCGTCTTCTAAGCCCATGTGCGTTGGGCACCTGTAGATGTATTCATTCATTCTGTTGGTAAAGAGGATGTTACTTAAAGCTGCTTAAAGTGCCTTAGATTTTGTTACTTATCTACTTTATATTTCATTTGTATTTTGTGGCATTCATGTGGACGGCAAAGTAAGAATTTTATTGTACAGGGAAACACGTTTCCTGACTGTGCATATGACAAACACCTTGACCTTTGACTTGACTTAGCTTGTTGCTAAAGCTGGTTTAGCTAAATCTTGACTGTATCTAGACACAGTGATGAATTCTCAGTATCACTAATTCTCTACCTACTTAGTTTGGCTTGCAAACTTTACAACAGTCTTTGCTGTTACCTGTGGCTCTTTAGTTTTGAAGTTGTGACAATCTTATGAGCTTTTTTGTGTGTAGTAATTACTCAGGGGTAGAAAGTAACTAATTATATTTACTAAAGTACTCTAAGTACAGTTGTTTTATGTACTTGAGTATTTTCATTTTCTGCTACTTCAAGTTCACTAGATTTTAAAGCCAAATGTAATTTTTACTGCTCTACAGTAAAATAATCTTAGTTACAGAACTTTTCATGCCCAGATTAATACAAAAATTAGAGTATAATCACAAGACTTGATTTTCTGATGGGAAATTCACAAACCACCCTGAAGTAATTCAAATTTGTATGTAAGTACAAAGGGTAGTTAAAACTAGCAGCCCCAGTTGCATTACTGTGTACATCACATTTAATGTTGCATCAGTAATTCTAATCCAGTGAAATGATAAGCATTGTGTAAAATGTGCCATTGTGCATAATGAGAACTTTCACTTTAAGTACATTTTGATGCAGGACTCTAACTTGTAACAGAGTGTTTTTACATTGTGGTGTTGTTACTTCTACTTAAAGGATCTGAGTAATACTGATGGCTCACAGTGTATTTGGTGCCGTTATACACAGCACCATGACGGACCTACGCATGTTGTTTCTAATCGTGCACAACTTCAACCTGTGTCTCTGCTGTTTAAAATGTATGTGCACTAGCTACTGCGCTTTGACTTTGTGAGCCAGTGATCAGATGAGCCCACTGCTCTGACAGCTGTGGTCACAGCAGGTGGGGAAAAGAAAACGTCTTTTCAGGATGTTCTTCTGTTGGCGCCACAGTTTTCTCCAGGGCATCCCCACGAGCACAGCTGCTCAGGTGTGTTGCAGAAAGTTGTCTTTCCATGTTTTATGAGGACACAACTCCTCCCCCTTGTTTTCCTCCATTTACTGTGACTCATTTCAACTAAATGTTTGGCAGTTGTGATGACATCACTGTCTTGACCTTATAATGGTGCCACAAATTTTGAAAACCAGTTTTCTTTGTCATATCACTGTGCTGACCTTTAACTTTCCAGAAATTTACTCTTGAAAGTTGCAGCAGTACTTGAGCAGGTTCTTGGCTACATCTGTATAGACCGCAATCTAAAAACCAAGCGCTTTATAAACCGTTGGTTCGATCCACTAACTTCTCTCACTCAAGTTGCTGCTTTTGTTTGTTTTAAGTAAAACAAGGTTTAAAGAGTCAAAACTGGTTAAAATGACTTTGTTGGGCCAACATGCAGCCAGTTGTCAGGGGAGGCTCAGGTGGTTCGTCTGCTTGTGGCTGTGCTCCCATAGAAAGACGTACTCTGACAGCATCTCAACCCAGTGTGAATGGGAGGGGACAACTGTGTGAGCATGCAAGTGTTTGTGCGTGTTGCTGTCCTATGGCGTCTCTGTGTTCAAGCTGAATTATTGCACGTGTGTGTTTGGGCCAGTTCTAGTAGATGTACATTTACACTTCATCACCAGTTATTGTGTCTCCTGCCTGAGTGTGACAGAGTGACTCCATGTGTGTGTTACAGGTCTAGTGGGTGGTCTAAAGTGTTGTTATTGTCCTCTGGGTCGTCGCTGGCCAGTGGGTTGCGGCTGATGACCAGCTCCAGCCCGTCCCCAGTGATAAGAGGCACCGCCAGGCAGCAGTCGAAGTCCCTCGTCCTCACGTGGTTCACCTGGACAAAGATGGAGACAAAAGATACTCAGGTACACTGAACTGAACTGAAGCTGCTGTTTCATGAGCAGAAACCAACTGCTGTGTTTAAAGTTAAAGGTTAGTTCAAGTCTTATGTTTGTAGGTTTGGTCTTTGTTCCTTTAATAATAACGCTGTATGATCTTGGAACATGTTAACATCGCTACCTGTCCAACTGTGTGAACACTCAGGTTTTTGCCCTGTTGGACTTGTTTGTAGCAATACCGCCATATTCCCAGGTCTCTGGTCAATAAAGCATGATTGTATAACTGATTGGAAAACACTACAAAAAACCTAGGACATAATAAACTGTAGCTATTCTTTAACCTTGTTTTGTGGAGGCAGGAACATGGTTAACATGGAGACAACTATAATTTTAGAGCTATCAAATTCACATGAACCATGGAGCAACTGTTTGCCTCTTTATAGAAAATACAATTTTAGAGTAAGAGAAAATTTTAAAGAAATGTAAAAGATGGAAATAAATCATGTTGTTATTATTATAACAAAGTTGGTGCCAAGTCCTTTGCTCTGACTGAATATCATGCTTTATTGACCAGAGACCTGGGAATACGGCGGTATTGCTACAAACAAGTCCAAAAAATATCGATATTGGCGAAGGTTGGATATATTTTGGACGGGAAAGCACTACGCATTTTATATTCCTCATTGATTCTACCATACTTAGAGTATGGTGTTGAAAACTGGGGAAATACATACAAAAGCTCACTTCAACTATTGTATATATTACAAAAAAGAGCGATAAGAATTGTGCATAAGATGGGGTACAGGAATCACACCAATGGAGCTTTCATACAGTCTAAATTGTTAAAATGTTTTGATTTAGTGGGATATAAGACTGCTGTGTTTATGTATAAAGCCAGGAACAATTTATTACCTGGTGGAATTCAAAAACTATTTAATGAAAGGGAAGGGGGATACAATTTAAGGGGTCAGTTAAATTTAAAAATTCATGCTATACATACAACCAAAAAAAGATTTTGTATTTCCATAAGTGGGGTAAAACTATGGAATAATTTAAGTGTGGACATAAAAAATAGTAATAGAATTGACGAGTTTAAACATAAATATAAAGGTATGTGTCAATCAAGATTATATGTAAGTGTATGAATGTTAACACTCTGTAATAATTCTTTAGTATATTACTTGTGTGGGTAGAAGAGAATTATCTACTGCTTGCAAACCAATGATGGTAAGATGATGTCATGGGGTAGGACTGGATAAGTCTGACTTCTTCCTACTCCGTTCAAGCATGTACTAGGTATAAGTAAACTGATAATGGATTATGTGTAAAATTATGTGTGTTGTCATGTCAACTGTTTTTACATGCTTGAAAGAATAAATCAAATCTAAAGTCTCTGACCCACAGAGGTCACCGTGAGGCCCATGGCATCTTTCTGGTTAACGCTCTGCCATCTTCACTTCTGGCTTGTTTTGGTGGCTTTTCATCATCAGTCTGGTGTTAAGCTAATCAAAACAGTTGGATAGGCATCGGGTTATTCGCTGCAACTGGCAGGAACATCCCGCTGTGAAGCCGCAAACCTCGTCCAGCTTCCTTGTTACAGTTGTGGGGCCTTTAAGTTCCACATCTAAATCGATCCTTTTATGATGTTCACCTGCAGGATCCTGTCGTAGGGTCTGAGCCCGGCTCGGTCAGCTGGTCCATCGGGTCTGATCATGTTGACGTAAACCCCCTTTTCCAAGAAGCCATCTGACACACTGAAGCCGAAGTCATCGCTTTCAGGGTCCTTTATCACTGTTACCTACAGAAGGAAGCACAAGGATGCCAGGTTAGTGAAGTGGAATCTTCTGGGTCAGTTTAGTTTCATCCAAGTTTAAATGTTAACTGAAAACAGTGCATCTGTGATGTAGGAGTTGAGCTTCTTTAATAAAAAAAATAAAAAAAAATGGCCAACAGCTTTTTTTCCCCCCAAGGGCCCTGACACCAAAAGTTCTGGCATGTCACATGATTTTCTGCTAAAACTGTGTTCTTTAGAAAGGTTTCACCATGAAAGACATCACTTTCTTCTAGTCTCTATATAACTATTCACCATGTAAAGTAAGGAGCCCCTCTGGTGACATCAGGGAGAAACAACATGGCCACAAGATGATACTGTGTTGTAGCCATGACTTCATAAAAAATGAAATACCCTTTACATGGCCTGATCACTCATGTTACAGGTGTTATCAACAGCAGATGAAGTCGGCCAGAACGCTGCACAGTCTGTGTGCTGCTGTCATCAGACAGCTCAGGTCAGGAAGTGAGAATGGTATCATCCACTCTCCGCTATGGAAGATACTATAGGCCATACATGAAAGGTAAGTGGCGTCATGACCATTATGGGTAAAATAATCTCATTCCCACAGGATAGTTCTTTCTGCCTAATGTCACTAGAGGGGCTTTTGCATAGGATCGTCCCTTATATTAAACTTTATCCTGTACAATTTGTCCCCACTTATACCATTCAAAGTAAGAAACTATGATGGAAAATTAGTAGGGATGATAATGCCCAGAAATATTTATTATACCACCACAGTTTTTCTCTTCTTACTGTGAGCAGTAGCAGTATAACAATAATTTGTAATCCATGTAAACTATCTGGACCCTACAGAAGAGGATTAGGACCACAACAAGTCCCCCTTTCTGCAAGTCAGAAGTCAAATACATTTTTTTTTCCACATCCTCTTCCATATGACCCAAATAAGCAAATGCAAAATACAAAAACTACTATTAGTGCAATCAAGAAAAAATATTTAAGACCTTTGAAAATGACATGAAAGATTTTTAGCACCTTTACATGCCTCTTTCTTGATCAGAATCCAATGCTTTGGTGTTCCTAATATTCTGACCCTCCCCTGTATGTAGTCCAGTACAACTTTAGTCCTTTAACTATGACCTCAGTAATAAATATAGATTTGAATTGCATTGATGAAGCTCAAAATGTTTGACAATTTCACCATAAACATTTTGAGCTTCATCAATCCAGAGGTGTTGCACTGAACTGCATACAACTGTACCTAATAATGTGGCCAGTGAGTGTATATTGTTGTCACTGCAGTCTAAATCATTCAGGCTCAGCTTAAAGAAATAGTTCAACATTTTGGGAATGTCCTCAGTAGCTTCCTTGTTGAGAGGTGGATGAGAAGATTAATCATGTTCTCATTTCTTTGTAGAAAGTATGGAGCTGGCGCCAGGAGGGGACTGGCTTTGCTCAACATGAAGACAGGAAGCTGGGGGGAGAACAGCTTCACACATCTGACTAGCTCTTCTAAAGCCCACTAATTAACAAGTGGTCTGGTTTGTTTAATCCATACACAAGCAGAAACATCAACAATTCATGCATGGTTTCAGAGAGAGTTGCATGATGTTCTGTCTGCCACGACTGGCAGCCTCACAGTGATGATAACTCTTCAGGAAGTCACCGCTCGTGTCCAAGAAATAGATCCAGCACATACAGTATTCTCCCTGTAAAACCCCCAACTATTTGTGTACAGAGTAAAAAGGACCAGCTGTGGTTTTACAGCGGGAGTACATGCTCTAACTATTGAAATACAACTTCCTGAAAGGTTGTAATCACCGTGAGACTATCACCTCATTCCCTCTCAACCCACAAAGTGAATTAATGTTTCTGCTTGTGTATGGATTAAAAAACGTAGACACTTGTTAATTATTGGGCTGTAGAGGAGCTAGGTGTATCTGTGAAGCTGTTTCCCCTGGCTTCTTTATGCTGAGCAAAGCCAAAACCCTCCTGGCTCCAACTCCATACTTCACTTTCTACAAAGGAATAAAGACAGTTCTTCTTGCTCTCAACAAGAAAGTCAGTTAATAAGCACATTTCCCACAATGTTGGACTATTTTTTTTTAAGCTGAGCCTGAATGATCTAGTAGAATAATGCTCTCATTAACAGCACATCACAATATTTTTCGTTGAAGTCCGTCATCATCAGCCCAGTGTGTCTAACACCCACAAACTCAAAACTTAGTTAGTTCTGTTATTTGGAAGTCCTGATTCTGTTGTTTACACTTTACCTAATCCTATCCCCGCCACAGAAACCACATCATAACGGCGTCATCACACTGAGGTCTGAACTCACTTTGTGCAGCTCCAGAGGCGTTGGTGACAAAATCCCCTGCATCTCCTCCTTGATCCGACGAGACTCCCACGTCCGCTCTGATACCCTCAACGAGGCCTTGGGCTTGGGCTCGTGGAGGAGGAGAGGATTCTGGTTATCTTGGTGCAGGTGGGCCTCCTGTTGTTGCAGCTGGGTGTCTGGGTGGAATAGAAGAGTTGGATATTAATGAGGTATTTACCAATATGCCAGGAGGCATTCAGAGAACAGCAGTTAACTACACCGATCAGGCATAACATTATGACCCCCCCCCGTACATCTGTCTGCACTTCAGTGCAACACTTCCGCCTTAACATTTGTTTCAGTGAGATTGTCAAAAATGTATAAATTCAGTTATATGTTCATTATTGAGGTCATAGTGTTGTACTGGATGACATTATATTCAGAGGTGTTCCTAATATTCTGACCCTCTCATGTATGTCAATGGGCAGGACAAAAATACAGAGACACCTCTGAATATGTATGTATTTTCTTTTCTTTTGTCTGTCCTATATTAGGAGCTTGGAGATGCACACATCTGCCTCTAACCTTGATGCAGGCAGGCCTCCTCGTGCAGATGGGCCCCCTGGTGGAGCAGGTTTCCCTGCTGTAGGAAAGGATTTCTCCGCAACGCGCTCATCCTGCTGTGACTCAGTATAGGTGAAGGCTTGGTCATACCATCTACACCCAGACTGATGGCTGTGCCTGTCATGATGGATGCCTGCACAAACACACACATGGAAAGTTAAGCTGAATTTCTAGCTGTGCATTAAAAGGCTATGGCTTCATTATGAAACACTCACTGCTGTCAAAGGCTGCATATAGTAGTCTGCAGTTTAATAATGAGAAAAATAGGTCTTTAGCTATGTGCATATCCCACTACTGTTCTATGACAAAGTAAATGAAAGTAACGTTACAGTGGGGCCTGACCGTAACACATCTGATACAACTAAAGGTCAAGACCTATTACAGGACTGCCACTAACCCCTTCTATTCAGTATAAATCCAGCTTGTTTTAGCCTGTGTAGGTAATGGTTGGTGCTTTGCGGAGTGTCCATGTTCGATGCTAGTGCTTTAGGGCAGTGTTGTAGTTAGAGGTCAGTTAGCATGTTAACACCAACCTCTATCTCTCTGAGGAGTTCTGACTGGCCACAGGTCTCCAGATCCTCCAACGCCTGACACCAGAAACTGTCCTCTGGATCCAACAGAATGCCATCTGGTTGTTGGCCAATGAATCTGTTGCAAACACAATTAAATAAAACTACTTTGATACCAAGTTCTTTTGCCTCCTTCACTGTCAGGTGATACTAGAAAAACATGTCAGGCTAAGACAAATGCATCATACAAACCTGTACAACAATGTGAACTTCAGCTACTGTAATATGAATAAATGGGTGCTGGGGAACTGAGTCTGCACATCATGGCAGAAATTCCTCCTTGTAATGGAGGCATGTCATCAACACAGTAGTCTGTGCAGGGCAAGGCTATTTGTTCTGGATAAGTTCAACATGAGTAATCTTAAATGTACTTGACTGGCAAGACTAGTTCACTTTCACTGTGTGAGCTGATTTTTTTTTTTTACTCATCCTTCAGCTCTTTCTTTCCATCTCAGCAGCATTATATAACCTCAGTGTTACAATTCTTACAAGGCCTAGCCTCCTGACACTACACACATACTGCAGTCGCTCTCACTGACTTCATGAGTCAACCTCCACACTTACCAGACAACTAAATGTAATCCTGTTTTACAGCTGAACTACTTGCTTGTTTACTTAGCTGTCGCTATTTTCAATGAATGATCGTACAGGTTATTTAACAAAACTAAAGTGCATGAATTCAAAAATGGTCAGCTAAAGTACAAAGGAACATGAGTTGTAGTTAAAAAGAAAAGTTCAGACTTACCCTGGTGGTTTGTCCCAGTCATCCTCACTGAAGCCTCCGTCAGTGAAGGGGTAGTTCTTTCGGCGTCCAGGAGGCGGCGTGGTACTGCACTGCTGCTTGGTACTATGCCACTCATGAGGATGGAGGGCAATACCAGCTGCCTGATGGCTGTAGGTACCTGCGGAAGGAGAGCAGCCACTTACAGACTGATGCTGTAGAAGGACATAACCGTTTTGCTGAAACGCAGCACTCAGTACTTGACAAATCTTAATCAGGAAATTTTGTTTTGGTACAATAATTCAGATTAATTCTGCATTTTGTAAGTGTAGCTCAGGATGTGTTTATGAATGAATGGATGCCTACGTAGACCTTTTACTGTCTACAGTTATTTCTGAACTCACCCTGGCTGCCGTAGCCTGCGTCCAGCCCTGAGCCATCCCATGACTCCATGGCAGAGTCCACGCTGGGTATGGTTGTGGAGTAAAGCTCTGAAAGCTTACTGGTCTGTTGGCTGTCCGTCAAATCATTCTCCTCAGGGTCACTAAGCTCATTCTCTGTTGTGTCCTCTGCCTCGGTTGCCTTCCTCTCCTCTACATCTTGGAGAGAAATAAACACTAGAATTAGTTTTGTTCAAGAAAATTATCAACTCACAAACACATCATACATACATATAAATACATTAAGTCTAGTTTCAGGCAAGATTTGTCTCTGCATTGCCAACTTGTTAAATAAGATTTGCAGGAGACAAACTTAATTTTCACATAAACAAAGAAAGGAGAGCTGCCAGAAATATAAAAAGTGTTTGACTTGCAATTTCTAACAACCATCTAAACAAAGTCATAGAAATTAACAGGTTAAAGAATGTCTATATCCATATATGCATCAGGTTGGCTTCAAAAAGCTGAGGTCAGGTAGGTAATTATATAAGGATAACGCACCAAGAACACACACACAAAAAAACTTGCAAAGTTCCAATGAGCAGTTTTCATACTTACTGTCGAGCTGTTTTTTGATCTTGAGGGTGACCGTCTCTCCAGCCATCTGCAGGAGGTGGATGGCTTCGCTCAGAGGCTTGCCTTTAAGACTGACGCTGTTGATAGCTAGGATCCGATCCCCTACATGAATAGCCCCTGTCCTGGACACAGAACACAAAGTAAGGTACAATTCACCACTATGCAACCAGTTACTGTATGCAAATGTGTTGTATACAACTCTAGTTTGGAGGCTACAAGACAAACTACAGTGATAATGTCACTGTTTAAAAGATCAGATTTGGGTTAGGGAAATTAATTTAAAGTTATGTACAAAACAATTTTAATCAATTCAGTTTTATTTGTATAGTGCCAAATCACAACAAAAATCATCTTCAAGGTGCTTTACATAAAGTAATATAGAGGAGAAACCCACCAAATCCCCCTTGAGCAGCACTTAGCGACAGGAAACACTCCCTTTAACAGAAGAAACCTCCGAATGACCCCTGCTCTTGGGGGGCGGCCTTCTGCCTCGACCAGTTAGAGGGCATTTGGGGGATTTGTTAGGTTTTTCCTCTATATTACTGTAATGTCTAGACCTTACTATATAAAATGCCCTGAAATTACTTTTCCATGTTATACAAATAAAACAGAAATGGATTGGAATAGAACTGGTGTTGTGCAATGAGAAAAAGCGTTCCTACTTGCTGCCAGCAGTGGGTGCAGAATGGCCTCATGAGCTCACCCACTCAGTATTACACCCACATGCTATCGCTTGTAAAGCCACAGAGGAGCTGAAGTAGGAGGTTTCATGTTGTGTAGGAAGATGAACAGGATCACAGCTGGTTTAGTGCCACTATTGATGGTCCACACATTGTGTTTTTGGAGGGTCATTATTTGCATGTTTGTTGCTTTCAATCCTATTGCAGACAGGCTGCGTATTTGTCCCAGTGTCCTAATCAGAGCTTTTTCACGTATGTATGAGCAGACTAGAATGAACAGAGGCACCGTCAGCTTAAAACTGCAACGACGCCTCCCTTGTGGTAACTGTTGTGTAAATGTTAAGCATAAAATACACCATTAAAAAGATTCAACAAAATGCATCACAAGATTTTGTGTAACTTACCTACTATCTGGAGTATTACCAACATATACTCTATTTATTCCTAACAAACATGTTTAGTGCATTTCCTTCTTCATTAAACATTTTCAGAGCCAATGTCATTATTATTATTTTAAACTGTACTGTTGCTAATATTCATTAGCTTTCATTTTGCTTACAGAACATTTCTTTGTGCACTGCAGCATGTCACCAAATGTCAATCCACTGCAGGGCAGTGATCAAATGTGCCTTTAAGAAGCATCAGGTGAAAGGTGTTTACCGCTTTGAAAAGCTGCCTGAGGTTTAAAAATCTGCTTAGATTAAAGAAAGTTTCTTCTTCAAATGCAATCACTTTTAGGAGTCTGACTTTTTTGTACTATATTTGTATACTTTTACTGAAAATATGTGAAAACCAAACAATCCAAAAGTCTCTAGTTGCAGTACCTCCCTCTAATGCTTCACAGCTTGAACTGGCATCCTAGTTTTCCAAGTAAAGTGTGTGTGCATGCAAGTGTGTACCTCTCAGCCAGGCCTCTCTTGGTTAGGCCAGATATAGTGATGGGGTCAAAAGGCTCCTCGGTGCCTGAGATGGTGATTCCTAGAGGGCCCCCATACCGCTTCAGCTCCACTGTGTAGATGATGCTGCCTGATGTCTCCTGCTCATCTGATACACACACACACACACACACAGGCAAATGTTTATTCTACTCTTTCAGCTCCAAGGAGTACAGAATTAAAATGTGCACACACACAAACACACATTTCATTCCAGAAGTAGGTCACAACACTTCTCAAGACATTACAGCTGAGGAAAGGACAGTTTCCATGGTAACGAAGGAGAAGACTGCTTTGTCATCATGTAGCATGAGCACATAATCTCTACATGCTAACCCGCCTGTGTGTGTTTGTCTATGGGATGTGTATGTGATTGTAAGCTCCGAGTCATACATAATTTGGCATAGTTATGCAATCACTTCCTGTGTTTGTATGTGTGATGTTTGACACCACATCCAGACACAGAGATAAACAGGACGACATCTTTTCACAACAACTTGGACGTGTTAATTTATTTAGCTCATCAAATCACATGAGACAGCAGCTGTAAGACTGGTGTCCTTAGCTAAATTAAGGCTCAGGAGCTCAAGGCTGCTGTGTGTTATTCATGGTACACACATCAGTCCAATACAAATGTAGGATACCATTTTCCTATAATTGTCTTACTCTATTCCATACATTTGTTTGTTTGTTTTGAAGTTTGGTTGTATAGTAACAGTTTCAGATGGGATTTAACTGTACTGCTGAACACTGCATCAATAAAGAAGCATCTCACAGTATCTTAGATGAAGACCATTTTGCAGCTACAGCAGGAGTCTGAGTTGTGGGTAATAGCACCATCTGATGGTCAGTGACTGTTAGCGCATCTCTTTAAACAAGTGATGAAACGTATAGAAGGTGATAAATGAAAGGAAAACCCTGAATCACTGAGTGGTCTCCTCCAGGATGACAGTGCCCCCGTCCACAGGACGCGAGGAGTCACTGACTGGTCTGATGAGGATGACCATGATGTGAACCAGATGTTGTGGCCTTCCCAGTCACCAGGTCTCAGCCCAGATGAACAGCTAAGGGAGATGTTGGAGCAACGTGCTAGACAGCGTCTCCACCACCATCAACATCATAACACCACATGAGGGAACATCTGTTGGAAGAACTGTGTTCATCCCTCCTGGAGAGTTCAGAGACTTGGAGAGTCAGTGCCAAGGTGGAGCTGTTCTGGTGCACGTGGTGGCCCAGCACCTCACTGTGACTCTGTGCTGGGCTTTCCTTTAATCTGTCACCTGTCTATAATTTAATCAAATGAAACAATTAGTTTTAACCAAGATACTATATTTATATGCACACAGATACCCGAGTTGTCTTCATCCTTGCGTATCTTTAACTTGACCAGTTCTTCACACTGCTGGAGGATCTGCTCTGCATCATCTTTGGAACAGTTCTCCAGTCTGATGTTGTCGATGGCCAACAGCTTATCACCAGGCTCCAGTGTTCCTGTTCTGAAGGTGAGAGTGAGAGAAAGGCTCTGTCATGGTTCACTACAGCGTCCTTTGTCAGATTTCTGCCAAGCTGAACTCACAGGACCTACACTGTATGCCATTAAATTAAAAGAGGAACATCATCCTCAGTATGTGGCAGTAATTGGATTTACCAACTGTAACTGTAATTAAGTATTGTAAATTTAAATTTGATGTACATAATGTAAGACGTTTTATTAGCTACATGAGTTGGACTAATGGAAACAGAGATAAAATGAAGGTAGCAACAAGCAAAAACCAGCTGATTCTTTGCAACTATTTTTGCTTGTATGATACCTTTAATTATTTGAACTTGCTGTGCAGCTGAGCATGCCTCCCTGCTGCTGAGAGAAAGCCACATTTTAGGCCTGCAGAAAAATGTGAAAGAACAGATTGTGGGTACCTGTGGGCCATGCTGCCCTTCTTGATGTCAGAAATGATGAGGGGCTCTCCAGGCTTCTTACTGGCTGTGGAGGCAGATGACATCACAATATCAGCAACAACAACAGCAGCAATGAAGTTTAACATTGCTATTAATATAGAAGCTGCTGCTGCTACTACACTTACTAATTATTCATACAATAATAACAACGACCAAAAAAGCAATAACTGAAAAGGCAACATGACATCAGCAACAACAGTTCTACTTCAGCAACATTTTCTGGATGATCAACAATAGTTTTATTCACTGAGATAATGGAAAGAAGGCTAAAATACAATAAATCATTTTTTAAATCAAATAAATGTTATTGCACTCATCATAAATATACTCTAAAAACTCTGGTGCTGAGAAGGACTGAAAATGTTTTGATACCAATGGCAAAGAAATCCTTTGGGGAAAACATACGAGATCCCTGTTGTACTCTGACCAGTGGAGAAACCGTCCATGTTGGCTGGTAAATTGGATTCAATTCAGAAGCTGGGAATTCTGATCCACTTGTAATTCTTATTTTCACAGCAGCTATCCATACATCAGGACTACTGGAAAGGAACTGTCTCTAAATAGGCCCATCTATTAGACACCACTGCTCCATCAGAGCAGAATTAGAAATGACAAAATTCAATAATGAAATCCAAAGTTTCACAGCAAGTTGTGGGCACCGCAGATGAAAATGCTCAGAGGTGAGGGGATTGGCGAGATTACTGAGGTGACCCGATGGAGTTATTTGATAGTCTGCTTTATTAAAATGACAAGAGCTTTCAGAGAAAGAGGGGAGTGCTGACGCTTTGACATGATCTCCGCCGGTCTTACGATTCTGTTCAGCAGATTTTTGGCCTGGAACTGCTTTTCAGTCTTTGTAACACTTACTGATGAGTTAGTTTGTCGTTACTCCACAAATTTCAAAATGCGCCAGGCTCAACAGTCCGACCTGCTACTGTGCACATGCTACTTAAAAACACAGGATATATTACCACAGTGCAGTATACACACATGACAGGCTAATGTTGTAGGTCATTCCCACTGAAGTGAGAGGGTTAATCACTGTGTGAACTAAAACCTTACAGTCAGTTATGTGATCTGCCTACACCGTCTAAGATTTATTTATATTTCTTGGCTTAGGTCACATTGTCATGACTGCTCCAAATAAAGTTTTACATTTTACAAATGTTTAGGAGCCATCACATAAATACATAAATGCTATGGTCATAAGTCTGTGGATGACCCAATATGGTAACATGTACTCCCCAGCATTGCAACCATATCTGACAGATTAACTCATCACATAAACATGGGCATTCATTTGCTGCTGTTAGCAGCTTCCAAGGTCTCACCAGGCTTTCAAACCTGGCTGCCATTCAGCCCCAAGAGCATTAGTGGGTTTGACCACTACCGTTGGGTGATAAAGCTTGGCCTACACTTGCCCTTCAGTTCAGGGTATATGCAAATTCTTTCACAACAAACTGGAAAAAGGATTTCTATATGGACCTGGCTTTGCAGACACAGTCATGTGAAAACAGGAAAGTGTTTCCTCGATGGCTGCCACAAGGTTGGAAGCGCACTGTTGTCTAGAAATTGCTTGTTATAGATTTAAGATCGGTCTTAACTGCATCTAAGCATTCTAAACCAAACCATGAAAAACAACCCCCAGGCCTAAAAATAAAAACTACGCACTACTGCATGCATAAAACTCCACATCCTTCTGGCAGTATAAGGCCAGTGGTTTGAGATTAGTGTCAACAGAATAAAAAGCAGACTGTGATTGTGCGGCCCAGTATCTGTGGCATTTCTCAGTGTAAACACTGTTGATGTTTATAGCGGAGAGTCCCTGCAGGCCCACTTACCCTGAAAAATACAGGTTCATGCTGGTGTGTGTGTGTGTGTGTGTGTTTGAAGAAGCGCAGGGTGCTCTCGTGACATTTCCACACTCTGCCAGCAGCCCTTCAAAACAATAAACAGATCATATGTGTGTATGTTCCTACCACTGATGGTGAGACCCAGCTCCACTCCTCTTTTCTTCGGCAGTTTGACGTGGAAGGTACCACTGCTAGGCACCACCGACTCTAACAGAAACACACACACACACACACACAGTGTTAAACACATGCAGAAAAGACATTAATATGAAAAGCAACAAATACCTCTTTTCATCCCACTTAACATTTCTAATTACGGGGCATTTAGCTCTTGCTCTTATCTCTTCTGAATTGCTCTTCTCCAGGGTAAACAGTGACTTCGAATCCTCGCCATTTGCTCGCATGAGTCACAATACTAATTCCACCAGTATAAAAACTCTACATTCAGTATAAACATGAGCGCACACTCTAACAAGATATTTAGATGCCAACTTTAGAATCCTTCAAACCTAGCAAGCAGCTCTTATCATTCATTCACACTGCAAACATGATAATCAACAAGTTCATTTATTGACAGAGCTGAGAGGCTGTGCATCAGATTCCTTTGTGCAATTCACTTCATGAAAAGTGTAGCATCTGACAACTACAAAAGTGGACAATTCCATTTAGAGCTGCCAAACCTTTTCTGAAATACCTTGGGAGATTGGCTCTATCCACGTTTGAGGTTTGTGGCAGGGTGTGAAATCATGTTTGTGTGTGTTTAGAAGACAGAGGCTAATTTCTAACTTGCTGGCTACTCAATGAAAATTCTCTTGGTATGAAAACTGTGTTCATTAAATGAAGGATCCTGTTGTATAAACACCGAGTCCATAAGATCTGAAATCCTTTAGCAACTTCTTTTCTGGTGCCATCTACGAAGCTACATCATTGCTGGGGATATTTCTAAAACACACTGCTCTACCTGGATGGCACTGACTGAGACTCCTTCAATTTCAAACAAAAGTACTACCCTGTCAATTTTACCTTTAAAAAACTTGCACTGATTAAATCTTCATCTTTGAGTTTAGATACTTATTTCAGAATGCAAATGGATGTAACTCTTCTTCTACAGAGAAATCAGAACGGAGGTTAATACACTGCTTTGTACTTGGAGAGCATCAGTGTGGTTGTTACTTTTTCATAGGGTTAAAAGCCTGTTGATGGGGCCATGCCCTGAAGCAAAGAGCTACAATTAATCTGTCCACCCCTGCCTGTACTGACACAGACACTGACAGCAGCCGAGTTTATAGTTCACCGTCTGTACAAATGTCTCCATTTGTACATTTTGCAGAAAAACTAAATGCTAAAATAAACATACAGCAAATAACTTGTGCTCTACCTTTTTATATTAACTAGAAAATGGCTTGTAGATGAGCAAAGAAACGCAACAACTTTAATTGATGTCTGACACCTGTTGATGTTGCAGCACTAAGTGTCTGACACAAACGGCATTGTCCCATAGTTGACATGAGCTTTAATAAAGTCAGACTGTCACAAAAGAGACTAACAAGTCAGATAATAGCAGAAATCCACTAGCAGTAATCTATCATGACGCAGCGGTATGATAGGCAGAAATCCCGTTCTTAACGTCACAAACCTGCTACATCAAATTCTATCTCCAATGTGACCTTATTGGTCAGTGCCGCATCTCGAAGAAGCTGATTGGCTTCCTCCAGTGTTCCGTCTTCTGTGGGAATTCCGTTGATAGACAGCAGGCGGTCTCCAACTTGCAGCAGGCCACACCTACAACAGGGGTTACCATGGGGATGTCAGAAAGATCAGAAACATATTAACACATTAAAATACGGTACTGGATATTAAAAACATCACAGCTTTATCTATCTGCAGCCGTAGGTGAGCATCACTTGTAGTAGGAGCGTAACTTGTACTAGTAGAACTACTGCCAGTTAAAATCATCTGAATTTGCTCACTGCTGATTTAGGTTTTCAGCTGTTGCCTCACAGGAAGAAGGTTGCAGGTTGAGCCCCGGCCGACCCGGGGCCTTTCTGTGCCTGTGTGGGTTCTCTCCGGCTTCCTCCCACAGTCCAAAGACATGCAGCTTAGGTTGACTGGTGACTCTAAATTGTCTGTAGGAGTTAGTGTGTTTGTTTGTCTACATGTCAGCCCTGTGACAGACTGGAAACCTTTCCAGGGTGGACCCCGACTCTCGCCCAGTGTCAGCTGGGATTGGCTCCAACACCCCGTGACCCTCGTTAGGATAAGTGGCATAGATGATGGATGGATGATTTAAGTTGTATATAATGGACACAAACTTTAGTTTAGATATAATATTCTAAATGATTAATTTAATACTGATAATGTGTAAATATTTGTGCTTTCTGAGTAGTGCTGAGTAGTAATTACTATTCATAGAAAAACTTTTAGCAGCACTAATGCGGGATAATTACAGGCTAAAGCCTTAGAGGAAGATGTTGCAGGTCACCACTGCACACAACTTACATGTATGGTTTTAAGTCGTGGTTAAGTGTAACTCCGAGTGGTGTGACGGGGTTTATTTGTAATCACTCTGTCAAGCAGAAAGGAAGGTACTCATCGATTCCTCTGGCGCGGGCGAAGGAAAGCTAGCTAATTAGTGTTAGTCTGGGCGCTAATGGAGAGGGGAATGTGGCCTCAAGGTGCAGAGTCACACCCAGCACTTAGAGAAGCTGTTAATACAACCTTTTGATTTATGCAGTAGAAACACACTCGTACCTACAGTCATGTACTTAAATGTTTAAACAGCTTTGTACACCCACACATACTACAACACAGAGCCAAGAAGAGCTGTTAATACACAGCCAACACCAGTCTCGCCTGCACACACAAACACTTCATTCAGAAACACACAGGGATGCTAAGTAAAGCTGCTATAGTGGCATTAAAGTCAGCACACGGTCACACTCACACAGAGACATCAGTATAGTTGTAGTACAACATCTTGTTTAATTACACCAATACAAACCATTGCAACCCTTTCAAAAACACACCTTAATGTTACCATACTGTACTTGTGACTAGATTAGTTGAGTACTTAATAGCTTAAAAGTAACTACTGCCAGGAGTCAGGCTGCCATCCAGTACCTGTCACACAGAGAACTTTGACTTTTGGCTAAATTCTGCTCCCACAAGTAAACAACACAAAAATCATGTGCCGGTTTTTTCATGCTACCAGTGTGCACATGCATGTGTGGCCGACTGATCAGGTGTGCTCACCTCTCTGCAGAGCTGTCAGGCTCTATAAATCGGATTAGCGGGGGTGCAGACAGTGTTTCGGTGGCGAATATTCCTCCCTGCAGCTGGACACCAAAGCCGTTGAGTGGATCACCTGTTAAGATGACCTCACTGGTCTCTACGTGAACCACCTGACCACCTGGACCCACAGAACTAGACGCCAGGGACACTAAACACATACACACACGTTAGATAGGTTTTCAGAAAAATGATATTGTATGGACAGAAAGATCGACCTACAGGAGCTCTTGTGCTCTTTTTTTCTCTGCCGTCGTTTGAGCAGTGAGTTGCGTGGGCTCATGGGAACTGTAGGCCTGGGCAGGGTACTGGAGCTCTGGCTACTGGGGCCCGATGTGGTTGTAGAGCCGGGGGAGAAACTGGCAGAAACCAGAGCTGCAAAAAAGGGAAGGAGAAGAAAGGTAATGCCCACTCCTGTTCACTTGTTACAATAAATGAACTAGGACAGGGAATGAGGAATTGGTTCAAGCCAGGAACAGACAGAAAAAGTAAACAGTTTACAGATAAGTGAGCTACTGGAGGTGGGAACGCTTAAACAAAGGGAAGAAAAAAAAAAAAGGAACAATGTGGATTTAACGAGCACAGAATAAATTCAAAGAAAGAGTAGAAAAAAACAAGTCCTGCAAAACTAAAACACTTTTTAATGCTTTGTTTTCACATCATTGCTTTAAACAGAAAATATGTTGTTACACATTTTATGTGAACTGTAGAAATCTTCAGGGTTTTAGCGTATGATTTTAGTATTATGTAAAGCAATGAATGGCGTATTTGTTCAGCCATCATTAGGGATGTGTTTCTATCACTATATGAAGACTTGGATAGACTGGCTAAGTGAATACATGCCGACCTTTGGCACAAGTGTCCTTAGATAAGAAGCCACATTTTCCACAAATCTACCCCTAGCATGAAATTTTAATTATTTCTTCTTTGCACACTGACCTAATTATATTTTTGAATTGACAGTAAGACTGAGCCTGGGAAAAAGTAATGAGTAAATGAAAGAATCAAACGGATGAACAAGAAAAAGAAAATCTGACAGGTTTGTGTTGCCACTGTGTCTCTGTCCTTACACTTGCAATATTCGAGGCTGTTGATGGTGTTATTGTTTGAGGCAGTCCATGATTTGTTGAGGCTGGAGCTTGTGTTACAGATGGAGGAGTTTGACGGGGGACAGAAGTTCACACAGGGGTCCCAGGAGTGGGGATGGTCCGACTTCTGAACCTTCACTGAAGCACACACAGATATTGTTTTGTTACTTTTGAGGACACTGGATTGACTCATTCCTCACGACTCAGCCCAGGTTTAACCCTAATGGTCCATTAACTAAGATTTTACTCAGTGTCTGATAATGGGACAGGATGTGGTCCCTCTCAGCTTGTGAAGTGTTCTGCCCCTCGTGTGAAAAATGAACTAATGATCACAACTGAGTCTGAATTGTCCAGCCAGACAATCAGGTGCACGTACAGTGGGTACGGAAAGTTTTCAGACCCCCTTAAATGTTTCACTCTTTGTTGTATTGCAGCCGTATGCTAAAATCATTTAAGTTCATTTTTTTCCTCAATGTACACACAGCACCCCATATTGACAGAAAAACACAGAATGTTTGACATTTTTTACAGATTTATTAAAAAAGAAAAACTGAAATATCACATGGTCATAAGTATTCAGACCCTTTGCT